GTGGGGGGTTGGACGTTCTAGTGGTTCTAGCCCTGCCTTAGGCACCTCCCATGCGCGAAGCGAGGTTACTCTCATTTTGAACGGAGTATAGAAACATATCGATACACTTTGTAATAAAGAAAAGGTTTCATTTTAAGTGTATTTTCCAGGCGGTCGTAGTAATTTGATCACCCACTGTATGACTCAGTTAATTTTGATTATTTTCACTTGAAAAAGACGGTGAATATTGCTGAAACATAAATAAATATATGTGCAAAAGGTTGATACCAAAAAGTTATATTGTTTTTTTGTAAAAAAATAAAAAGCATTCTAGACTAGAAAACACCTCTAAACACAGGTAATAACTTGGCACACGCTAATTACTTCGAAGGAAGGTGGATTCACGCGCCGATAGAAAATAATCGAGATAGAATCGTGCTGACAAGAAATAAGAAGTTAACGAAGAAAAGGATAAAAAAGATGGAGGAAGAGTCTTGAGTTTCCTCGTTGTATCCCTAGGGGTGGTAGAAGTCGAAGGATAAGAGGTCGCAGCCCGCGGACATAAGGAGATAGACGACTAGAATCCTGTTAAAAATGGTTGCCATTTCTCGAAGGCACGAAAAAGTTTCTCGTGCACGATCCTTTGAGGTACGGAATGACAAAAGTCTGATAAAAATCGTAGAAACAAATCGACCCGTCTGAATCTCCTTGTTCATGCGATCGGGAATTCCTCTGGAATCAGTTTGAATATGCAGACATGCTGCTCTTTTGCTTCTTTCATTGCCTCTTCTTTTTTATTACAACGAATATAATTATAAATTAATATTTCCTCTTTTATTACGATAAATAATTACTTAAATACTTTGTTGGAATTGAGGGGTGAAAGGATTCTGGGAAATCGGAAATTGACGAAGAACAGAAAAATTAAAGAAAGTTTTTTTACCTAGTTTTCTTCTGCGGAAAATATAATTTACAGATATATTTCGTTTAATTGGAGAGCACTGTGAAATTTTCCAGAAAATAGCTAGTTATCTAGTTTCGCAAAAATTTGTGGAAAATTGTCATAGATAATTGAAACACTCAGAGAAATTTCATTTATGTAATAGTTAATATCACGAGAAATTGAAAACATATTTCTTTCGAAGAATTTTCCGCTGGTTAGAAGTATTATATTATACGTGATTGTTGCATTAATCTTTTCGGTAGATTTAGAAAGACTCAATTTTAAAATGTTTTGTAACTAAAACATGTCAGATGTCAAGAACACTGTGTTTCTTTAA